TCCAATGCACAGAACTAAGATTACTAGCAAATCTGGACAATTTACACACAATAAAGGCTATATTTGGTTTAGTGCAATTCATAGTATATATCATACTTCCAATTATACTAGCATATTCTAATTGTGCTAAAGGTTGTTCGGTATTTTACATCAATTTATTGACACATCAAGTGGTAAGTTTGACTCTTTAATTCCCAATTGCTAAATTTTTGAATAATTTTCTCCACATAGTGGCATTGATTTAAAGGATAACCCCCACTCTTTAAAATTGTGTTCACTTCTTCCAATTTTGCTTTAAAGGTTTGTAACGTACCATCAAGGTTATACTTTATTCTAAATACCCATTTACATCTGATTGGTTTTGATCCCGGAGGCAATTCAGCTAATGTCCGTGTATTGTTAGCAATAATTGCATCCATTCCGTCATTTATTGCTTCTATCCAAGATTATGCATCTATGATGCCATTATCTCACAAAACATTCTTGGATCTTCATCCAAGTGAAATAACATGGATAATTCATTCATAACTTTTTCCCTACCTCCTCTACTAGGAGAGATAAAAATTTAAACCGAAATTTTGTTTTCTTCACTGTGACTTCTTTTTGGCTCACTTGAAGTATCAAACAATTTTCTTTTACTTTATAAAAGATTGCTTGCGTCAATGGGTGTTTGTGAACTTCTTGTGCCTTTACAGGTCCATGTCAAGCAAATAGAGCCTATTTTTTCTGAAATCGTTGACATCAAATCCATGACTGGGTCAATAGTTCAATCCTTCTCATAAATTAAAGAGTTCTTATGCATGTTGTTACAAGGGGAGACTTACGTAGGAAAAGATGCCTGGCCCTTAACTGGTTGTCCAAACCCCCTAAAGCCCTGCGGGCTCTACTTTGCTCTGATTCTAGCATTTTGTACCCGCAAACTTTGCTTTATTAATTCGACCAAAAAAAAAACTTTACTCTAGTAATGAGAAGTTTCTATTTTCCGACCAGAAAAAAACAAGGGGAGACTTACATTATTAACTGACCATGATAGGTAATAACAAAAGCAAAATATCTCAGAATATAGAAAATATGAGATGTCTAATGTCCTCTCTCTCTCATTTCTTCTCATTATTAAAATGAAGTTTAGTCCTCGTCTTTTTATTAAAACTAGAAGGGTTGGACCGGTTTCTTGAAAATTTGGCGATACCTCCAAGTCCATTGGATAGGGGATACTTTAGAAGATGACTCAAGTAAGGCCCACCCGCAAACTGGTCAGTATCGTAAGTGATCACATCTTAACTAGTCCTTTTGTGGGAGTTTGATCCATGTAGATCGAGTTAGATTATTACACAAATGGCATAAAAGTAGGTCATCTTCCAGTAAAATGTAGTTTGACTGAAAGAGTAAGCCCCAAGCAAATTCAATAATAGCGTGTAGTGATTGCTGATGCGAGATGGTTGAGACAAAGTACAGGTCTTTACATGCTTCTAGGATAATGAAAAAGGTATAATTAATTAATCTACATATTGAATTAGGGAATTATCAATGGACAATATGGGCTTCCATTGACGAAGATGTGAGTGCTTTAAGTTAGGGAGCTTGTAATCTCCCAAGTTCTATGCCGGAAAAGAAAGGGCTATGAACAAATTCGTTAGGAAGAGCCACTCATAAATGGCCACTATCTCCAGCAGTCACTTCCGAAGTAATTTTTTTGGGGACTTGATCCACGTATATCAGCAATGTGGGGCCCATTATGATTCGATTTACATCTTTTAATCAATAGATTTAGGAATTGAAAATTTGAGGTATATTTCTTTATTTGTTTGATTTTAGAAATTATTGTAGAACATTTGATAATTTGGTTTGATTTTTAGTAGATATCAAATTAGACTAACATAATATTTTTAGATTTTCCTAATTTATCTCTAATTAGTGGTTTTCGAGTTTGAATTTTCTCTTTAGCAATTTCAATTATAAATAGCTCCCTGCTTTTTTCCATTTGTTTCTATGCTTTCTTCTTTTGATTTGGTTTATTCTAATGTCTTCTTTTAAATTCATGTCGGTTTCTAATTTGTATTATCTATGTCCAAAACATTTTGGATTAGAAATACAAAAAATTGAGAGACTTCTTTCTGTGCTTTCGTGCGTGTACACTTCGGGTGTAGCATTGTGAGTTGCGACCTTTGTTTACCCGTTTTCACAGCATCAATCCGGCAGGGTGGTAACATGTTATCAACAGGATGGAGTTGAGTTCTTGAAGAAGACTTTTAGTCCAGTTGTACAATTAGCACAACTCAATTTGTCCTTGGTGATCTCCATGCCCCCTTATATATGAAGCTGTCACTAAGGTAGCGAATGATAACCATTCTGTTCCATAATAAGTTCCTGAAACAGAAATAGATTTTTCTATTTCTGGTTCCAAGATGAGTTTCTGAGAAAAGAAACCCGTTTAATAACGACCAAAAATTTCTATTTCTAGAATAGAAACCCGTTTGATAACAGCACAAAATTTCTATTTCCTGAAACAAAAACCCCTTTGATAAACAACACAAAATTCTATTTCCAGGAACAAAAATCCATTTTTTAAGAAATGGAATAAAAATAATTAGAAAATCCAAAAAATTCCTAAAAATCTCAAAAAAAATTCAAAAAATCCAAAAAAAAATTGAAAAATTCTAGAAAAATTCATCACAATTTCCAAAAAATAAAAAAAATTCAGATTTCGGGAAAATAGGAAATTTATTGAATTTTTTCAAAAAAAATCAAAAAATCAAAAATTTCAAAACTTCAGAGAATGGCTTAAAATATCTTTGGCCACCCACTTTTAGTGAAATTTAAATTTTTTTAGGTGCCCCAAAAAATAAAAAAATCAAAAATTTTAAAACTTCACAGAATAGTTTAGAATACATGTGGCCACCCACTTTAAGTGAAATTTAAATTTTTTAAGGTGCCCAAAAAAAATTCAAAAACTCAAAAATTTCAAAACTTCACAAAATAGCTTAGAATACCTATGGCCACCCACTTTGAGTGAAATTTTAATTTTTCGAGGTGAAAAAAAAGCAAAAAATCAAAAATTTCAAAACTTCACATAATGACTTAGAATATATGTGGCCACCCACTTTGAGTGAAATTTAAATTTTTTTAGATGCCGAAAAAAAAAAATAAAAACATAAAAAAATCAAAAATTTTAAAACTTCACAGAATGACTTAGAATGCCTCTAGCCACCCACTTTGAGTGAAATTTAATTTTTTTTTAGGTGCCCAAATGATATTTTTGATTTTTTAATTTTTTTCGGCACCTAAAAAAATTAAATTTCACTCAAAGTGGATGGCCACATGTATTCTAAGCCATTCTGTGAAGTTTTGAAATTTTTGATTTTTTGTTTTTTTTTCTTTTTTTGGCACCTAAAAAAAATAAAATTTCATTCAAAGTTGGTGGCCACAGGTATTTTAAGCCATTCTGTGAAGTTTTGAAATTTTTTTCTTTTTTTCTTATTTTTATTTTTTTTCGGCACCTAAAAAAATTAAATTTCGCTCAAAGTGGGTGGCCACAGGTATTCTAAGCAATTCTGTGAAGTTTTGAAATTTTTTATTTTTTTATTTTTTTCGGCACCTAAAAAAATTTAAATTTCGCTCAAAGTGGATGGTCATAGGTATTCTAAGCCATTCTATGAAGTGTTAAAATTTTTGATTTTTTGCTTTTTTTTATTTTTTTAGGCACCTAAAAAAAATAAAATTTCGCTCAAAGTGGGTGGCCACAGGTATTTTAAGCCATTCTGTGAAGTTTTAAAATTTTTGTTTTTTTGCTTATTTTTATTTTTTTGCCATCTAAAAAAGATTAAATTTCGCTCAAAGTGGGTGGCCACAGGTATTCTAAGCCATTCTGTGAAGTTTTGAAATTTTTTATTTTTTTATTCTTTTCGGCACCTAAAAAAATTTAAATTTCGCTCAAAGTAGATGGCCACAGGTATTCTAAGCCATTCTGTGAAGTTTTGAAATTTTTTATTTTTTGCTTTTTTAATTTTTTTCGATACGAAAAAAATTAAATTTCACTCAAATTGGGTGGCCACATGTATTCTAAGACATTCTGTGAAGTTTTTAAATTTTAGATTTTTTGATTTTTTTTTTGCATCTAAAAAAAATTAAATTTCGCTCAAAGTGGGTGGCCATAAGTATTCTAAGCCATTTTGTGAAATTTTGAAATTTTTTATTTTTTTTATTTTTTTCGGCACCTAAAAAATTTAAATTTCGCTCAAAGTAGGTAACCACAGATTCTAAATTATTCTGTGAAGTTTTGAAATTTTTGATTTTTTGCTTTTTTTTCCCACCTCAAAGATCGTGACTTCCAGATGAACATGTGTTTTGAAGAAAGAGTTCTCTCAGAAATGATTCTCATTTTTGGTCTAGAAATAGAAAACCTACTTTTTTTTTGTTCTGATTCTGGTTCAGAATCGGTTTTGGAACAAAAAGTTGTTCCAGAAATAGAAAAATGGAATTGCGTTACCAAACGGGTTTCTGGTCCAAAGCTATTTCTGGGAACAGAAAACCAGTTTTGGACAGAACCAGAATGGTTATCATGCGCTACTTAAGTTTCCGCGCTCTTCTTGCTCAATCACTTATATCTGCTTCTTTTATATTGTCGTTCGATCCCTCACTATTTCTTTATCTCATTCCAATCAAACAGTAATCTTGTTGTTTATGTCAACGACATAATTCGTATATATTAGTTCCTTTGGGTCGTTCTCTCACTTCATGTGTAGGCTGCTATAACCATCAATTAGATATTGCGCGTGGAAAATATTCACCTAGTTATTCTCTCTTTCTTCGATTTTCTGTTTCGGTGATTTCTTGTTTAAGCCAATTTCTCTAAGGTTTGATAGTCTGTAAAAATTTGTAAGTACTCTAAAAGTTTATGTTGTTGAATGAAAGCGTGGCTGATTATTCAAATGGTAAGTTGCTCATTCAATTTCTATGTTGCCTTTGGACGGTCTATTGTCATTCCGTAGATGCAGGGAGAATGAGAAAGAAGACCAAAGCAATTTCAAAATGAAACTTCGTGCTCAAACAAAGCAGTTGTACATGCCAAAGTTAGATAATGGTTGCCCTAAACGCAGGCAACTAACAAACTCAAGGACTCAGCAAACAGCCCTTTTATTCATGTCCCGGCTTACAGGGTACTCACGTAGCACCTTTATTGTGGACATGGACCAGCAGAGAGATGCATGGGTACCTTAATGTGCTCCATGGCAACACTCAAACTTGACAATGTTCTTCATCATGCGAGGGCACACAGGACACTTCACGTCCTCCGGGATGTAACCCACCATGTTCGGAATGTAGAAGTGGTGGCACCTTGGAAGGACAAAGACCCGTTCGCGGTGCTCCTTGAAGGCTGCATCGAACGTCTTCTCGTTCCCTTTGACCTGCTTCTTCCAATTAGTCTCGTATTGGGACAAAACCTTCGTGACATCGACTATCGAGTCATTGATCACGACCTGTGACCCCCTCGTGAGGACCGCGAACCCGCCGTCCTTCTTGAAGTTGGTGTAGATGCTGAGGATGTCTTGCATGAGGGGTTCGTGCACATCCGCTTTGGTTTGCAGTTTTGACAGCATACAGCTCTCGAGGCGGCTCCAGAAGAGCTGATTTTTGGTGACATTGTAGGCGACGATGGGGACACCATCTTCGATGATCTTCTTCACTGGCTCCTCAATTTCGTGGATTGCCTTGGTGTCTTCAGCTCCATAAAGGAGGATGTACTTCTGAGACTTGATCTGATCAATGATAATCAATCGGAGGAGTGATCAATGAAAAAAGTTCTTACGGTCATTCCTCATATCTCTATAATATAAAGCAAACTCCAATCATCCTCTAATTTCAAGTTTTCCACGAAAATTCCAGTAAAGCCTATCTCTAATGTAAGATGAGTAGTATATGTTAGTAGAAACAAGACACTATAATAATGTGAAATGGTCTGCTTAGTTCTCATTTTCTATCCAATAAATCTCTCGATTGATTCAAATTTAAATTAAAATCTTTATAATCCTCCATAAATTAATTAAGATCGTTTTCTAAATTAACTCAGAGCACATTTTTTCTTCGTAGAGCGAAAGGGTAAAAGGAAAGTGAAAAAGAAAAAGAACATAGTACTACTTACAGCTTCGTTTATCTTAGGAATGACCATGTCAGTCACCAAAAGCTCAAACCAGCTGATGCCAGGCTTGCTCCATAGGCTTGCTCCTACTGAATCAGTGAAAGGGAAAGCATCCCATCCCCAAAGCCTAATCATGCTCATCGCATTTTTGTTTGAGACTCTTCCTTGGGGATCCAACACAGTCACAATGGTCTCTTGCCTAAAGTGCCACTTCTCCTTGATGATCTTGATGGCCACTTTGTTGATGAGTGTCGGGTAGTGCACCGAGTACCATGGCAGTTGCGACTGTAGATTCTTGAACTGGTTGAGCACATCCTCGCCTTCTTGCTCGATGATCGGGACCCACACGATCTCATAGCGCTCCTCATGGAACTTGCGCTCGCTGTAGATCTTGATGAGGATGGAAAGGTCGTGAGAGGTCAATTTTAGGTCGGAAATCAGCAGCATCACATTCTTCCTTCGCAGGGACTCGACCTTATCCTGTATGTCATGGAATGATAAACAGGGATCAATATTTCACTCCTTTGGCCGCTACCACTAAAGTCGACAAGACAAATTTACGCGAGGGCCGACTAGCTACAAAAGTGCCACTTTTTTTTTTTGTGGAAAAATAAGTGCAACTTAGGTGAGAACAAATGTTATGTTTAGATTTCAGCAAATCAGTTGAAATAAAAAATTTTTAACAAGGACGAGTTTACGACCATAACATCATTCTGGTACTCAACTAGGAACATAAAGTTTGGCCAAAAAAAAAAAAACATAAAGTGTTGCGGAATTAGAGAGTTAGAAGATTGAACCGTGGTCTTCTTTGAGCCAATGTAGAGTGGCTGAGGATCGTCCTTGATGTAAAACAAGGCCTTGACGAGCTCCACATTATCAGTAGGGGCATTGAATAGTCGCTGCAGCCTCTGATACTCTCTAATTTCCTCTGCATTCAAATTGAAACTGATGAGAACGTTAGTCCAATATTCAAAGCATAATAATCACAAGTCGATGAAATTAACTTATACCCTTTTTTTGCTTGTAATCTTCAAAATGTCTCTTGATAGTGTGGTGGATCATGTTCACTTTCCGAGCAAAGGTTGGGAGATCTTTTCCCTTGTAGCTGAAAATAACAGGAAGCCCTCTTTTAGAAAAAAAAAAAACCCCTCTCCTCTAAAATTTGAGTCTGTTGAAATGATTTTTGATGATTCATGTTTAAAAGAGATCCAAAGAAAGGGATCGTTAGTGAATCATACTCATCGACAAGGCTGATGAGGCTGGTGAACTGAATCGAGCAAGCGAGGACGCTGATGATGATCTGATAAACACTGCTTGGAATGTCGATTGCCGTGGACAGCTCGGGAACATCTTTACTGTCATGCTCGAACTCCACGATGCACTCGGTCATGTCTAATGTGGTCTTGATCATTTCATTCAGAACTCCAAACACTTGGATCTTTTGCACGTCCGAGGGCTTGGTGATTGCAGGTAACCCCTTCAGTATGGCCATCGATTCCGCGAGCTTGTCCGATGGCTGAATCTGGGCAAGTCGCCAAAAGTCGCCATAGAAAAGGGCAAGCGACGAAAGGGTGATCAAAGCCTTATTGACCCAGGAGTAGCTCGATAGCTCGTGAAAGATCGAGATCATCGTTTCACGCACATTTTTGGTGTCTAATGCCTTGCATGTGATCTGACAACATGATGTTGATAATGTTAATACATGGGATTAGTTATTACCAAGCTCTAAACAGTAAAATAGCCAAAATAAAAGCCATTCATTACTTGGTAAAAATAAATTATTACAAAAGACATAATAACATACCTCACAAGCCACTTCGTTGATTGCTGCTAGGGGTGGATTGAAGCCTTCTTTTGGTGGCTTGAGTGCAGGGCTTCCAGATCCTTGAGTGCCCTACAACAGTGTATGCATATGTAGACTTATTGTTAGAGAAGGAGGAAGGTACTAACTAAACGAAATGATGAGGAAAAGTTCTTTGTTTTTTTAACTGCTAAACTAAGGAAATCCACAGTTATCGCATAGTAATCGCATTACGTGTAGATATATGATCAAAATTTATAATTAAGACATTGTCAGTTTTTATTAAAAAATTCACTAGTGATGAAAGTATATATCAAGGCGCAGTTGTTTCGCAAAAGATCAAAAATTAATTAAATATTTATATTAAGAATGATTTATGCTTAAATATTTTTATCAAAAGGGAAAATGTTTTTATCCGATTCATTTTTGTAAGTGTTATAAATTCCTCAATTTTTGGAAAAATGCTTTCTAAATCACACTAAACAAACGGCTCTAAAAGTAAATCTTAACGAATGATCGTCCAAACCCTGCGGAAAAAGAAAACAAATGAATGCCTAATAAAATATGAGTATAATTAATTAAATGAGTAATAACTTGTCATGAGTTGGATTTAATCCTCTATGTCATATCAAACTATTGTGTCGTTGACTTATAGATAAATCGATAATCTCATGAATAGATCGATCTAAGACCACAAAAATTGACTGCCAGTGGATTGCTTCCTGATTAGGAAAAGTAAACTTTTGGCATATATTATTCAATTTTACTGATTAATTCTAATTAATCCATTTTTTCAGATTAATTTGCTTTATCTCTCTCGTTTGTCAATGTCCTTTGGACATGTAAAAAGAAAAAGCAAGTAGAAAAGGTCAAGCGGGGTGCGACAAAGAATGTGCTTTTTATCCAAGCGCTCAATAATGCCTGTTGGTGCCTCACATGGATAATGCTTTTATCAGAGAGCAATTGCTTTATCTCTTTCTTTTCATCTTGTCCATGTTCTGACAAAAGCAAGTAGAAAAAGAAAGCAGGGTCGAGAGATCGAGAGAGAGATGTCGTGTCAGTCCCTTCTGTATTTGGTAAATTGTATAGTCTCCATCATAGTGTGCGTGGCAGTGTTAAATATTTTGGTCCGCCAAAAATCTAGGTCCATTATTGTCGCGGGCAATTGAGCTAATTGCCCGACTGTCCGGACTTTTTTATTGAATAGGATAAAAAAACATTAAAAAAAGATGTAATGAAATTCATAATATCTAATACAGTGTTTGGTAAACGTTGATATTATGTTCACCACGCCAGCGTCCTACGGACCACGGCGATGACAGCCACAACCCCCGCAAAATGAAAATGCTGCGAGGGCCTCTCTTTTTCCCCTTCGCACTCAACCTCAGCTGCCCGGATGGCTCTCCAATCTCTCGCTTCCCTATTGGCTTAGCGCTCGACCTTGACCTCAGATTGAGCGTGATTGCGGGATCTTTGGCCCGGCGGCGCTCGGCCCAATCCAACGCTTGGTTACTTTCAGATTCGAGATCTAAGGCTCGAAAGTGTCGGCCGAGCTTAGGCTCGACGACGACGATCGCAGCCTGCTGAGTGGAAATCAAAGGTGACGAGCTGCCAGCCAAGAGCTGAGGCACGGGTGGTGATTGGGTGGGGAAAGCAGAGGTTGCAGCGGTGGTTGGGGGCAGAGGCAACGACTATCGGCTGTCATGGTGGGAGTCCTTGTGCGGTGGTCAGCGATTCTTTATGGACGCGGCGACGGGCGGCAAGGCTTCATAGCCTTGGTCATGCAATATCCGAACAAATCCACATTATACCTCATCTCCTAGGTGGGAATTTTTTTGTATCCGGATTTTACATTTCCTCAAATATCAAATTGGATAAAAATTATCCGATCTAGAGTTATATTCGGTCCATCAAACGAAGTCGTGGGGTTTATTTGCCAAAGATGGTCAAATTCACTACGGTTCACACCATAGACGTACCCATTTGATAGATTGCTAAGCTTTTACCCAGTAAAACTATTTTGGACTGCATCTCTCTCGCACCACGCACCCCCACATGGACAAAATACATGGCATTATTTCAATTTTTACCTTTGGGTTGACGACGGAGTCGGCGATGGCGGTAGCTCCACGGAGGGTGTTGTCGACGAGGAGGAAGAGAGACTGGACGTCGACGTCTCCTTCGTCAGGGGCGTGAGCGTCCACCATCTCCTTCATGAACTTCTCGTCGTCGAAAATGGCAAGCAGGTTGTTCAACATGCTTTGGTCGACCTTGCTTCTCTCCCTCCGAAGAATTTGGCCGAGGGTCCTGCTCGCCATTTTCTCGAATCTCAAAGAGAAAAGCAAAGAGAAGAGAGAGTCTACTAGGCTTTGGAGTGACAAGAGAGAGCAAAACTAGAGGAGGAAGAGTTCGGAGGTGGTGTTGTGAGGGCAGCAGTCGATATGCTTGCTCTATTTATAGCCACGGATGAAAGGAAGGAGACGAGAGATAGAAAAGATAATGTTTGAAAAAAATGGTTTTAGACGAACGTAAAACTATCAATATCAACAAATCTTCAAGCATTATCATAAGAGTGGCACGCTCGATACGTACTATTATTTGAACAATAAAGTCCTAAAGGACGAGCCCATCACTACAATCCTAACAAGGTGCGATTGTATGTAAATAAAGCCAAATGTTGAACTTGGCACCACCTTAGATGAACCAAGGACTTTTGAGATTGAAATGTGTTTTACATTCGAAAATGGGGCCAAAGGTTTTTTCCACATCAGTTGGAAATAATTTCGTATGACTTGACCGATTACGATGCCAATCCCGTGTGGTGTTTTTTTTTAATTATTATCTCTATGTGAAAAAAGTAATTATTTTGTTCAAAATCTGAAATTTATGATAAATCAATCTCAATGTATTAGGAAGCGTGTTAGACACCGCATGAGTTCATAAGAGTAGCACGCTGATTATAGAATATTATAACTTTGTGTATGCTTATTTTTCGATTCATTAGCCCCTGTTTGTACCTGATACTTTTATACTATTTATTAGCATTTGTTTAGTGACGGACAAATAGTTTTTGGTAACGCGAGATAACTTCGTAGGGTAATAATTTTTAGTAATCATTGGGAAACCTTACCGGCTTTTTATATGTTATAAAATGAGAGGGAAAATAAAAAAGAGATTGGTTGAGAAAATATAGGACGTGATTCCCGTGTTTGATAGGACAAGGTGCTTTGATTTCGCATCATCTTTTTTGATGATGATAGGACAAGGTGCTTTAACTTTCACTTTGCTCTCTCTCTTTCTTTCCAAACCACACCATGGTAAATTCAATTCAATTTTGTATATTTGTACACCTCGAAGTAAAGAATTTAAAATAAGTTGGTAGACACCCCTCACGTGTTTGATAGGACAAGGTGCTTTGATTTCGCATCGTCTTTTTTGATGATGATAGGACAAGGTGCTTTAACTTTCACTTTACTCTCTCTCTCTCTCTTTCCAAACCACACCATGGTAAATTCAATTTAATTTTGTATATTTGTACTCCTCCAAGTAAAGAATTTAAAATAAGTTGGTAGACACCCCTAAATTTGAATGCTTTTCGGTATTTATTTAACACCTAACCAGCTAAATAGTTTTCCATTTACCAAGTATATTCACTTATAGAATGAATAACTTACGATGATGTACTCAGTTTCACTAATCAAGCATTCATTCAGCAATTTCACCGGTGGATCGCTAGTATCACGTATTCACTTTCCCTTGTACCCTTAATTTTTGGAAACGGATGGGTTTGAACCTCATCTTTTTGTTTGTGAAGAGTGAGGTGTTTGGAACATTTGGATCATCTTATTACATAAATTTCACTTGATGTCTCATGCATATCAAATAGATACAAGCAAGGAATCGACACACGAAGTGACCTTCCAAAAGAATACGCAAGCACGATGATTCATGATCGATTTTTAAATGATAAAGATTGAGAAAGAGGTCGCTCAATTGGCTTGACCCCACCTTTCGTTGACAACTTTCAAGAATCAAATCAAATCTTGTCCCTAACTTTATATCAACTCAGTTTTGCTGGCACGGTGGCTCCATCATCACATGATTTCTTAGTTACCTGCCAAAGGCAAGAATGCGAATGCTTTTGTAAGTTCGCTATTGACCGATGAAAGAAACAGCGCATCAATCTAGCACTGGTGTCATAAGATGTATGAAATGGTCAAAATTGCAAAAATAAAATTAAAAAGCAAGGGCATAACTACAATCATGACTAAAGGCAATAAATGGGCCTTTATGTTATTTTTTTTTTTCATAATACAAAATATTTAAATCTTTTGATTCGATTAATTTTTTTTTTATAAAAGCATACAAAATGGATCCATTCCTGTGATTTCACTCACCGGACGAGAGACATAGTCTCAAACATTATTCTTAGTGTATGTAGTTACAATTTGAGCGAAACATCCATCACATCCAAATCGAATCTGATAATACTAGACCTTCAATTGGTGTCATGAAAAGTATGCTAAGGGATGTCACCAAAATACTCAAGCCATTACGTCAGCACAAAACGGGCAAAAAATGTAGTGAATTCTCATAATTACCTTATGTTGTCGTGTTTCCAATTGAAATGAAAAATTATGGTGTTCCTCTTTCGACGTTGATAGGGGGGCCAGGTTTGATGTTAATAAAGAGACGTCGGAGGGACCAGGGAGAAATCTAAGGCTTTCTATTTTATTGCCTCGATAGCGGATAAAACTGGGCCCGATTGGACGTGTTCAAATACAAACTGATAAGCACCCACAAAAATCTCTTAGATGCGAAACAATATCTTTCTACTTTATTAGAAGAATACATATCGATTTTCTTTTATTGAAATTTATCATGAAACTTCATTGTTTATACTCATGAAAAACACAACTCTTACTTTCTTTTCATAGTTAATACCATTAAAAATCTCAACTAATATGCGACCCATATCTACCATTATATATATATATATATATATATATATATATCTATATATATAACACATGTGGATTTTTTATGTCCAATTTGTCATTCTCCACTTCAAATCGGTTTTGTAGTCTTATGTCATTGTATTGACACGTATGCATTTTGATGGGATATAGAAAGGAATGCTAACGGAGGATAGATTTGGGTTAGGGTATCAATTTGGATCTTTTGTTATACGAAAATTAAATTTAGGATAAATGTGTTATGGAGTTACAGTTTCAGATTTTTATGAGAAGAAAGTCAATTTCGAATAAATATGTTCAGAGAGTACCAATTTCTGATATTTTGTTAAGATGAAAAACAATTTGGGATAAGTTGTCGTGGAATATTAGCTTCAAAATTTTGAAAGTGTTGACATCAAAAAAAATCCAAGTGTTGTAGTCGACAGTTTGGTCGATATAAACTGTGATATCCCTAGATTAACTCACTCGAGGTATTGTTCGTTTTGGCCCATCCCATACCAAGACTTATGGTTTTGTCATTTGGCGTACAGACAGACACTTTCCCAAGAGGTCACCCATCCTAGTAATGCTCTAGCCTAGGCTCGCTTAACTTTGGAGTTACATCAAAAGGTACCATTGTGAGTTAATTCCAATTTTTCACAGATATATCTCAAGATCGCTCTCTCCTTATCTAATACACGGTTTGGTTCATTCATGCCCCATTTGCCATCCTAGAAGCCTGTTAGGATTTGCTACTTGTCCAGGCCCTCTGGCTCCAACGACCACTCCCCGCCCTCGTCAAACTAAGTCATTACATAAACCGTCAAAGTAGTAAAGTCCATGTAACAGTCAAGTAGTGGAGCCAATGTAACCATTGAGTCATAAAGTCAATGTGGTCATTGAGTAGTAAAGACAATGTAACTGTTGAGTAGTGGAGTCTTATTAATTGCTTATAACTGTCAATTGTTGGCTATAAATACCTGCATTGTACTCTTTGTAAAGACCGCCAATTAATCAAAGAATACACGGTTATTCGTATGTACTTCCAATTTGTCTTTACATTCTAGTACTTTTACATGGCTGACAATGACAGTTCCCATTCTCATTACTTTTAATTTCTCATTGACATTTCCTGTCCAAGAATCAACAAAAGCCTATTCAAATTCTTTATCAATTTACTTATCGATCCATGTTTCGAAAGGTATTTCGTTGACACTTTTCGGCGAAAAACATCTTTTTGGCATGCTCGGTAGGACACATTTTGTTTGTTCCAAGAACTACGATAGCAAGAGCCAGAAATAAATAAAAGTTTGATAGTGCTTGTAGCAACAAAAATCCATTACCACAAATAGGTAATGAGGCTATCATGCAATCTGAGACTTTAGTTGCTAGGAGAGTGGCAAAAGATAAGAGTGGCTAAAGATAACCGACATGAGGAAGTTGATCTTCTGAGGAGTTTCATTAATGATCAATTAATATATGTTGCTCCAAATTCCAACATGGTGTCTACTATGAGAAGAATGTCAGAAGAGCGGCAAAATAATATGGCCAACTACATTGTCATTATTCACATGTCAGACGCAATCAAGCCAATCGTCACTAATATTGTAAATGATGCCCTATCAAGACAAGGATTGTTCAACCAATTGCTACAAGCATATCTAGTGGTAACATGGTAAGTTTCTAGTCTCTCTCCATTATAGATGCTAATAATGTTTGTTAGAATAGTCAAACTCCCATAAGAATTATGCAAATCCCTAAATCTTCTAATCAAGGCCAGAACAATGGAAATAATCAAATTAATGCTTGTCAAATTAACCAAATCGATAATAATAATTAGGCAAACCAAACTGGCCGATACATTGGTCAAACACCAAATATTGGTAATGTAAGGCTGGTGATTCCATAGGTACCATTCAATGTGAATATTCCTTCTACGCCTAATTCCCGATTAATATTAATATGGATAATCCGGCAGTACCAACATCACCATCTAGGGGGGCAAGATGACCAACCAAATCCTCAATTAACCCCAGCACAGTTTGCTAAAAAAGTTAGACAATACTTATGTTTTGATAGGGGTGTTGTTAGACTTGCGTATAGGAAACTTTATCCTAAATGGGTCGACAATTACCCTTCTCCTAGATGCTTTGAAATCCTTGATTTTCCCATCTTTATTGGCAAAGAAGAACAATCGACCATCGAATATATTGGCCGACTTTTAGCCCGGAAATAGGAACAAATGAGTTCTTAAGGCTTAGGTTGTTTCCTTTGTCTTTATGTATAATTAGGCAGAGATAAAAAGGCAATTTCATTCTAAATTTTATAGAAGATACTTAAGGTGTCGGTCGTTGACTTGGCTAGGCTCTATCAATACAACAATGCATCAATCAATCAATTTTTTGTTCGATTTAAGAAGGTTCGAAATAGATGCCTCACTTCACTCTTAGAGAGAGAGTTCAACAATTGGGCTTATATGGG